GCGTTATTGGCACTGAGAGGTCTTTCCTTTCTTTCCCCTAAAATACATCTCCACAGAGAGCTATTTGACTTTCAATTCAAACAATTTAAATAATTTTATAGCACACTTTTACCTAAATCTCCAAATTCGAATTTAATTAAGAAATATATTTTGGTTTGTCCTTCAGTCAGACCTCGATTTGCTATGGCTGACAAGGGGAGGTGTGGTTCTTTCTGAACAGGCGGTACTTTGACACGGCGAGGTTTGTTTGGACTGGAATGGTACTTCCCTCAGTCGGTTCCGTGTCTGTCTTGGGTAAGACGGAGAGTTGGTTTTGCCCGGATTGAGCGGTGTTCTGGTACAGCTAATGTTTTTTGGACCCGGTTTCCCCAGCTTGGTGAGGCCCTGTCTGAACTGGTGGGATAGGTCACTGGCACTGGAAGGCCTTTCATTTATTTCCCCTTAAATACATCTCCACAAAGAGCTATCAAATAAACAAAATTCTCGGATTATTTTATTCGAAAAAGAATCCTCCATTTCATCCAACAATAGATTTAGCACCTGACCTTTAATCTGACCACTAATCTTAACCCCTCTGGCTCCTTGCCTAACCCCAAACCACATTCTCTCCCCACTTTTTCACTCTGACCTTTCTTTCAGCCCCTATCTGGTCGAGCCCCGTAAGGGGATAACGAAAAGAAACGGGCCATAAACAGATACGGCCATTGCGGCAAGAGGAGGCATCCGCCGTCAACACAGCTACCCTCCTCCGTGTCTCTGTCCTTCAAGCTTAAATTACCCTGTCTACTTTACCTTTACACACTTATGACTCAGTCAAGATGCTAAGCTAGGGCATGAGCCGAAACGTCCTCTAGTGCGCGTGCCTTTCCTTGGATCTCTGTATAACCATGAAGTCGTGGGGCGACATGGCTCTTAGATCTGGTGGCTCTTACTAAAACCTAACCCTAACCCTAATGTACCGTGATACACGATGACTGAGTGCGCCGAATAGGAGACTTCCACAAGCTCTATAAAAGAGCCCTCTGCCTCTCTCTCCCGCTCAGTCCTCTCTGACGCTGCATTGAGCACAGACATAGCTGGGAAGATAAAATTACAGGCAACATTAATATTACAAAGGGATTCCAAAGCAACGCTCACTGAACTGTATTCATCCTTACCGTGAAGCCTCCGGGGGGAATTTAAGAGAAAATATTAATTCCTGTAATTACAGAAGAAACAGAAATGTACATACTCTACTCTACTTAACATAAAACACGGAATCAACAGTCAATTAGACCACGCCTACATCTCTATAAAGAGCAGGCTTCCTCTCTCTCAAGCTCATTCCTGTCTCAGGCCTCACAGGGCACTGACAGCAGCAGGGATGTAGAGCAACAATCCACATTTAAAGAGCAGGCTTCCTCTCTCTCAAGCTCATTCCTGTCTCAGGCATCACAGGGCACTGACAGCAGCAGGGATGTAGAGCAACAAGCCACATTTAAAGAGCAGGCTTCCTCTCTCTCAAGCTCATTCCTGTCTCAGGCCTCACAGGGCACTGACAGCAGCAGGGATGTAGAGCAACAAGCCACATTTAAAGAGCAGGCTTCCTCTCTCTCAAGCTCATTCCTGTCTCAGGCCTCACAGGACACTGACAGCAGCAGGGATGTAGAGCAACAAGCCACATTTAAACTTAAAATATATGGTATCACATAACAACGCATATCACCTTTCCGGATGGGAGGGACGTCTGGCATAGGGGAGATAAAACTCAGACGTGGGAATTATCCTCCTGCCAGATGTCATGACTATGTGACCATGTGACTATATTTAATTGGAAAAATACACACAGCATGGTTTGATCACCCTTGCAGGGCCCACCTCGAGGAGAACGTCTAGTGACGGGTCGAAACGTTCAATGATTCGAGGAGCACTACTGACGATGTGTACAAATTAAGGCAGGTTGTATGTCAAAAAGAACTATAACGGTTTATCAACCCCCAAACTTAAACTCCAAATCAGTACATGGATGGCCAGTGCATTTACGTGTATCCAGATTATGTCTGGATACCGGATACTTTCATCCAACCTAACCCTAACCCTAACCTAACCCTAACCCTAAACGTGTAGTATAAACACATCAACAGTACAAAATAGGTATTATTTGTGACATGTCTTCTCTACTGTTGATGTGTTTTATACTGCACGTTTATAGCCTATATTATTTGATGTTTATTTTATTCAAATGTAATTGTGTCAATACTTTATTCCACCATTTGAATGCCTGAACACATTTGGGATAGTTAAAGTATCCATCTGTCTGGTATAAAGCAATGTTAGGGTATCAATTACCGCTTGTAAACTGCCAGTTTTTGGTATACAAGTTATCTATGTTGTTTTTGTCTATGCTGTCAGGCATTACAGGGAGAAGCATGGAGATGGCAACACCAGTTCTCCGCATCCTGAATCCCCAAGCTCCAGGGGATCGCACACAGGAAGAGTTGCAAATCATGGTCACATCATACTGTCATATCAATATCAGCACTCCTGCTAAATGTGTTGTTTTATTTTGGTCATTAAAAACTGGCATCAAATTATCATTACATTTGTTTTCACTAACCTCAGACGAGCACACTGGACTCATCCTCGTGGCCAGGGGATGATGCTGACCTGGTAGCTGCGAGCCAGGCTGTGGAAGAAGGCAAGTGAGACACAGTTCATATATGAAGGAAAACATGTTCTAAAATAATACTCCTAGTTCAAATGTGCTTTGTTTGGTACATTTTTAGATATGATCAAGAAAAGGCCCAAAGAAACTGCTTAGCGACCTGGAGGCAGTGCTGTCCGGCCCGGAGCTGCTGCTCTCCTTCCTGATGTGTCTGTCCAGCCTGAAACTGCTGCCGCCGCCCGCCCTGCTATTGCTGCTGTCCGGCCTGCTGCTCAATACTGTGGGGTGAAGTGTCTTGCCCAGGGAGGGACACAACGACATGCTGACTGCAGTGGGGTTTCAACCCGTGCTCCCCTGATCCCAACACCAACGCGCTGCACCACAGCCTCCCTGTACATAATTGTACACATAATCTGATTTGTATCCACTTGAGCTTTTTTACCTGTGTTTATGTTGTTGCTGTTGCCATCCTTTATACTGAATCAATGAAGGTGAATGGCTGCTCAGTAAACATAAACTACTCATTGTGCACTCATTTCACGAACATATCTTTTGTTATATTTTGATTATAGATATTGATGTATTGGATTGTTCTTCTTAATTTGTGTTATAGTTTTCAAAATAATTTGATGGGGTCTCACTACCGGAGGCTTCTGGGGACCGTATGACAGTCTTGACCGGGGTATTGAGAGGGGTATTGCTGCCGGAGTCTTCTGGTGAATGCATGACAGTCTTGACCGGGGTCTTGAGAGGGGTATTGCTGCCAGAGGCTACTGTGTTTATGCCGGAGGTACTTGAGATTGCCAGGCCCTTAAATCGTATACATTATTCCTCTTCCTCAAGCACAGCAGCAGTGGCACACTGCTGCCTGGGTTTTAGCCCCTTTTTCAGCCTGGAGCGCAGGGTCTTCACCTCATCAATGAGGGCATCCTTCTGAGCTCTCAATGCCACATGCATGTTTTTGCTTAAGGTGCTTGTTCAAAGCCAGATAGAAGAGTCTGCACACCGGGCATTCAGACGACATCCTTACTAAAACAGACACAATGAATTGTATTTAAATTATTTTCTTTTTATCCGTTTATATGCGTTATCGTAACCGGTGATTGCAACAATGGGTCCGATGCTTCAATTCATGGTACACGGACCAAGGGAGGACTTGGGTTACCACCGGGTTAAATGGTCCCACCTCCGCACCAACGCGGGGCTGGTGATGGCAACATTGGGTCCGATGCATCAATTCATGGTGCCCCGACCATGAGAGGGTTTGGGGTGCCCCGGAACCAGGCCGTACCCCAGCAGGAAACATGTTTTATGGTCAAAGGAGGAAAGAGTGATAGAACCGGGGTAAAGCAAAGAAAGGGTCCGACAATAGTGACTTGTGAGGCGGCCAGAGAGTCCTCCAGGCAATGCGGTACCAGAACTGGGTCAAATTGACCAAAATGTAAAACAAATAAGTTTCAATTCATCCATGGAAAAGGGCTGAAAATGAAAAAAAGTATCCGAAAATAGTGCATCATGGGCCCGCAAGAGTCCCCTGTCAACTCCCCTTACATTCCTCCAGACTCAGAAAAAGTCTAAGTTCACTTTTTGGAGAACCATAGAAAAGGGGTGAAAATGGAAAAAAGTATCCGAAAATAGGGTCTCATAAGGCGGGTAGAGTCCCAGACCACTCTCTTTACATTCCTCCAGAGACCAGTTCAAAAACTTGCACATTTGACTGCATAAACAGCCGGTGTTATGTACAGGAAACTGTCTATTTCGTCCACATTTAACTCATGAAATGTACAAGAAGATAAGTACAGCAGAGTCACTGCTGTTAGCAGGGTCTCAGACTCACAGGCAGATATCCAGGGTGATGCACAAGGCTTTTCTACCCAGCAATAAGTCTGAAAGCTGGGGGAAAGTGGTGTGAATAGAGGGAGAGAGCAGCCAGAGAGAAGCGGGCTGTGAGACTCACAGAGCGCACCCAGGGATCTCCTTGCAGCACATGGCTCTTGCACCCAGACTGCACCCAGAGAACAGGCTGCTTCACAGCACTTTACAAGCCAGGAAAAGTGATTGAATCCTGGGTATACATGTTTTAAATAGTCTGATACCTCCAGGGCGAATCACCGCATTTTACAAGCCAGGGAAGGTGCCTGAATCCTGGGTAAACATTGTTTAATTGTTTAAATGTTTTTAAATGTGTGAAACAGTGTTTTGTCACTTTCAAAACTCTCCCGTCATTGACCGGAGAAATTGGGTCGATGTTGTATTCAATCACACCGTTAATATTCCAGTGAGACGAATGTTAATTTTGTCCCAATACCGGAGCATTCCCTCACCTAACCCTAACCCCAAAATGAATTTCACAAAGTGGACCTTATGAACTTTTATTTATTGATCTTGACATAAATATTTACTGTATGTACATCGCAAAATGGTAGACATTTAAGTTTAAAAAGGAAGTGACATCATATTTGTTGATCTACAGAACCGTTGGAATATACCAACAACATAGATTGCATAATACATTTGTTAATAGATTCCCTGTGATCGTAGACCAATACAAAGCTTCTGTTGGATTTCTTTCTTACTATTCTATAATTTTCAATATACATATGATTTATAGCTCTACATTTGGATTTACATGAACTCTCTGATTCTACGGTCTCTCTATTTTCTCTAATATTTCTATCTTACAATACTAACTGTAAAATATTACATTTTAATGCTGGATTTGCACTGGTTGTTTGCCAATGCTCAGATAATAAATGTCACACTCTTTTGGACAAAACACAACACTCTGGCTAAACTCATCACAACATATGCCAAATGAAAGCTTGGCCATGTTTTACAGAAACACACGCACAGTGATAACAGTGATGACATGTTGAAGAGAAACAACACGCTAAAGAGTTTCATGTTACAGAACAGTTCAATAGATCATACAGCAACAGAACCAGTACAACACACTCGTTGTCAAGAAGGGGCAGGTTAGTGTATTTAGTTCAAACTACTTTCCTTCTGTTGGCATGAACATTTATGAATTGCATCATTCCCAATAAATTAAAACAACTTATTTCAATCAACAAAAAAACCATCTCAGTCTCAGAGAAGGGTTGATCATACTATGATATCATGCTTATTAATTTCACTTTGCTGGGAATAATGCTACTTTTATTAACAAGGATTTCAATTTGAGTAGAGCTTCATGAACCAGAGAAAGCCTTGTGTGGTCCAGCAGACATCTGCAGCAGGTTATCGGGGGTTTCGGGTTTGGCTACATGCTGACTGGACGGCTTGGCCACCAGTGGTTCAAACCTCGTATTTTACCCAGCTGAAATACTTCTTACTCCAAGCGCTGAATAAAGTTTTCTGGGAAAAGTCCTTTGTGAGCACTGGCACCAAGTGTTAACCAGTCACTTTCTCTGATCCCAGTGAGCCAGCCGGCATCCTGTAACAACAACAAAAGGACAGTCAGTACCGGATCACTACCAAATCAGTACCGCTCTGAATAACTGTTGGGATGCTCCCTGTCCGAATGCTGGTGACCACTTATTCGCAGAGTTTCTCACCTGATCTTCTACTGAAGCGGTGGGAACCACCAGCACCACATCACCTCTCTTCAGCTCCAGCTCGTCTGAATTTGCAGCTTCAAAGTCGTGCATGGTCTCCACCTACAGGCAGAAAACACCGTCACCACCTCTGCGGACTACAGACTGAGTTTGTAGACCTCTTATGCTAAATAATCACACAGTACATCAGGTGTGGAGATTTGAATGAGCGTCTGCTGTCAGCTGATAGTATCTGGAGGAAGCCCCACCTTATAGAGGAAGTCGTCCGGGAGCCCCGACACGCCACCGGACGGACTCATGTGTTTAATGGTCTGGGTCTCTGCCGTCATGTCGCTGTCCCCGATGGCGGTGGGAGAAATTATGTCTGCATCACGGTCATCATCCCCTTCGTTACTCGAGGCGGGCTCGATGACCACAGAGGGGATCGGCATTTTTTCCTGAAGAACACAAACATCATGACTTTAATTCAGTTATAATAATAAAACGATAAGATAAGATAAGATGGTACTTTATTGATCCCAATTTGGGAAATGTTTGTGTTAAAAAGACAAGGCACTGTACAATACAATAAAGATTCAAAGACTAGAAATAAACAAGAAAGTAGAAAATATACATGTTGAATTTAACAAGGTGTTATATATACAAATATATATACATAAATATATGACACAAGGAATATTCATATTAAATATTGAACAGATTATATAAATGTACAATGTGGTTTTATTCCAAGAGAAACTACGGAGCAGTAAGACTACTATAACCTCTAGTTTACATTGGGGTTAAAGGCTGGACCACCAAAGGCCCTTTGACAGAGAGAGCAGATTGAATGATGAATCCAGAGGAGGATTCTTTCAAAATGAGCAGCATTTGATTGCGGTCTGACTGTAGACTGAAGAAGTGTTTACGGTGTGATCAATGTCTCAAAGGAAGCAAAGTGTGAGTTACCGAGGAGGGGGTTTTGACTTCCTCAGCAGGAGCGATCTGTGTGGAGACAAATCATCTGATTACACAGCGAGTGTACCGAGCCTGGTACACATGTTTAAAGCACATGACATTCATACATCTTACACTTGAGACATCAGTGTGCCTGTATTTAAGGAACATTTTGTGAATATTGTTCAGGAATAAACACAAGACATGAATCTAAAAAACAAATATTGATGTACAACAAATTCTGATTTCATTGGAATCACAAAGTTTGAAGGTTAACAACTGTCATAGTTTAAAAAAAGTCTGGGTTCACTGTAAGTATTTGTATATTTCCTAACCCTCAGGTTCTATTTCGTCCCTACTGACCGCCAGAGGCGGTGCTTTAGCACTGGATATGTCCATCGCACGCATGCGCAGTTTGAGTACCTAATAACAACAAAGTCACCTGTGACCCACGTGACTACGGCTACATAGGCCAGCGTCACTAGCAGACCGGTTCCTTTTCATCTTCTCGCTGCGCGAGGGTACTGCGGCTACATTCTTGTAGCCTACAGCGTTCAGGTTTGAACGTTTGATCTGAGGGATTGCTCTGCAAGCAGCTGGCCGCGTGCAGCTTCGTGACTGACAGTCGGAGCTACGGGTCGTTAACGCGTCCTCCAGGAGCTGTGGCCGGCTGTGCAGAGCCTCCACAGACAGGTTGGTGTCAGCTTGTTGCTGGTGATGGCTGTGTCCCCGCACCCTCTCCCAGCCAAGTTGTCCTGATTGCTGTCTTATTTATTGTTTGGCTTAGACTTTCTGGTGACGACAGTGTTCCCGCTTCCTCTCCCATAAAGTTGCCCTTATGCTCTTTTAAAAGTTCTGCTTGTGGCGTTGTGCCCGAGCAGCATTTAGCTGCGTCTCTTGTTCCATTTAGTATAGAAAGCCCAGGGTGCCATATTTAGTTTTTTGTTTAGGTGCAGAGGGTAAGGTAAGCACTGGCCATAGTTACTACTGTAACTACGGTTCTGTGCTGTTCTCTTCTTTAGAAGCTAGTTATCTGGTCTTAACATTTGTGTTATTTGACTTGATCACGTCTTGCATGTACTGTTAAGCTTCATTATTTAATTCAGCTGGTGAAGGCAGTGCTCTCGCTCCCGCTCCCTGTAACGTATTGTTTTGATTGTTAGCAGCGGCCGCTTGGCTAACATCTGGCGTGTTCTGTTGAGCTTCATAGTTTAACTCATCCAGTGAAGGCAGTGTTCTCGCCCCCGCTCCTGGTAGACGTGCTGCTTGATTCTTAGCAGCAGCCTCCTGGCTAAACTGCCCCGTTAAGCTTCTTTAATTAATCCAGCTAGGTGAAGGCAGTGCTCTCGCTCCCGCTGCTAGTAACGTGGGTGTAGTTACATCCCTCTTTGTGTTCGGCGAGTAGGAGCATTGCTCTACTCTTTCCGTTTAGCAGGTAGCCGGTGAAGGCTGTGTTCTCGCTCCCGCTCCTGGTAGACGTGTTGCTTGATTCTAGCAGCAGCCGCCCGGCTAAGCTGTCCTGTTAAACTTCTTTATTTAATCCAGCTAGGTGAAGGCAGTGCTCTCGCTCCCTCTGCCGGTAACGTGGGTGTAGTTACATCCCTCTTTGTGTTCGGCGAGTAGGAGCATTGCTCTACTCTTTCCGTTCAGCAGGTAGCTGGGGAAGGCTGTGTTCTCGCACCCGCTCCCGGCTACGCTGCATCTGGCTACCTATAGACTGGCTCATTCATGTAGCGCCTGTATGGCTTCTATTGAGCCCGAGGATGGCCATGACCGCTGCCCCCCCTCTGCCTTGGCCTCGAGCATTTGAGGGAGGGTCTCACGCAAAGTGCCTGTATGAGCCGTAGCTTCATGCCTCAGGAGCTCAGAGTGGCTAGAGTCGCAGAGGTGGCACCTCTCCTCATCACAACTTCCTCCAGCTCAGTCTGGTCGTTCCCGGCGACTTGATGGAGGGATGGCTAGGGGTTCACCCCCCAGGTAGAGGGCTAGAAAAAGGCTGTCCTCTAAGGTGGATCGGTTAGCTGCCGTCGTGGAACAGACGAAGTTGCTCCTGTTGGCCCTTCAGCCAGGGGCCGGTGTGGGGGCTACTAGTTTGCCGCATGGCCCTCCTTCGGTTGCCACACCTCTGCTTGAGGATGCCATGTCACTAGCGGCTCTGGCTAAACCTCTTCTATGAAGGGGGGGGGACCCCGCTCTCCTCTCTCAGAGCTCTCCGCAGGGCACGGAGGACGCCTCCATGGCGGCCATTATTCGTGCGGCCCTGGTACGCTTGCAGCTTCAGGTTCCACAAGCCGACTCGGCTCAGGCTAGCGCCTTCTTCAGGCATAGCCCTGCTCCTTTTCACTTCCACTGTTCCTCCTTCAGAGGAGTACCTGAGGGAGCTCCATGCATGCTGGAGAGACACCAGGGCCCTCTCCCACTCTTCTGCCAGGCAGGATCCGGCGAGGGTGGGGCTGGGTCGCTTGCCATCCATAGAGCCTGCCATCGCCTCCCCGATTCTGGCTCCTGATGCCAGGTGCCTTCGGCCTCAGTGCAGGGTCACAAACGAGCTGCTCTGTAAGGCCTATGACACAGCGGTACGGGAACTCCCTCTCCCATCTGATGCTGGCTGTCTCTACCTCTCCGCAGCAGGCTCTGGCTGAGCCTTCTTTGCTGGGCCTCAGTGATGCATCACTGTAAGCCTTTGCCCTAATGTCTAGGGAATTGGGACGAGTTATGGCCTTATTGGTGCAGACTCGTCGCTAGGTTTGGCCTGCTCAGTCACCACTGTCAGAGGCATGTCCTCCGTAGTGTGCCAATCGAGCCAGGGGAGCTGTTTGGGGCAGCTGCCCTGTAGGCACTGGAGCGTGCTGCCCAAGCTAGGCAGACCAGGCAGCAGCTCTCTGGTCTTCATAGGCCTGTGCCCACTCCCAGCAGGCCCAGGGGCCCCTTCGGGTTGACGATGCTACGGCGGGATGCCACAGGTCGGTGTCCCGCTTTACGGCAGCGTCCCCCTAGCACCCAGAGGGCTCCGGCTTGAGACCTGCCCCTGCTGCCGGATGCCCTATCATCTCCTTCCTTCGAGACCCTGGCCCGGGTGGGGCTTAGGCTGCTGCCCACGAAGGCAGAATTTCTGCTTGCCATAGCCTCAGGGAAGCGAGTTGGGGAGTTGTCCTCTCCATAAACGATACATGCCCGAGGTGGGACTCTCAGGTGTTGCCCTTTGGGCAAATGTAGCATTCCTGCCCAGGGTGCTTCCACAAACCCACTTCAATCAGCCTGCCTTTCTGCTTTGACATTCAGGAGAACAGCACGTCGAAGTTGCTGCGCCCTGTGGGTGCCCAAAGGGCGTAAATCGAGGCTACTGCCCGTACGCGGCAGTCGGAGCGGCTCTTCGTTTGCCATGGCGGCACTAAAGGAGGTTGTGCCCTCTAACCAGCGGCTGCCCCACTGGGTTGTCGATACCATCTCACATGCCTACGGGGCCAGTGGCCGCCCCCCTGCCATCAGGGCTGAGATGCCACTGTACAAGGAGCATCTCAACATCTTGGGCTGCACTGAGAGTGGTGCGCCTTGAGACCATCTGCGCAGCAGCGTCGTGGGCATCTTCTGGCACATTCTCCAGTTTTTATCGGGTTAATGTCGCCACTCCCCATTCTTTGGGCGTGGTCCTTTGGCCGAGCTCCGCTGCTTCCAGTAGTGAGCAAGGGCTTGGATTCTTCATGACATGGTTGGTATAGGTCATCCAGTGCTAAAGCACCGCCTCTGGTGGTCAGTAGGGACGAAATAGAACAATAGTTACGGCTGTAACTACGGTTCTATGAGTCCCGGATGACCGCCAGATGCGGTGCTTTAGCACTGGATGACCTATACCAGTTTCCTGTCACTCAGAATTATTGTGTGCTCGCGAGAAGATTCTGGGAACCGGTCTGCTAATGACGCCGGCCTATGTAGCCGTCGTCACGTGGGTCACAGGTGACTTTGTTGTTATTAGGTACTCCAGGGGTGCCCAACCTTTTTTGAACCGAGAGCTACTTTTAAAGTTGCCAGTCTGCCGAGATCTACCAGTCCAAATAGAGAGGCATTACTGACAGCCTACGACCAGGTAAATACACACTTCTACTTGAATAAAACTGACCTTTGTACGATTAATACTTCATAAAATACTGCAGATCCTTTATCTTACCTCTTTCTAATCTACACAAGTATTTAACTGAAGTTACACAACAGTGTTGTTGATACAGAGTTTGAGTTTATTCACACGTCACTACAGTGGGTAATGTTATCAAGAAACATTGAACAGTGCTGCCACATATGACTCAGGAACAAAAGAAAAGACTCTGAACCCTTTCTTTGCCATTATATAAAAATAGTGTTGCTACAAAAGTATAAATGAGGCTTCCTAATAAGACGACTCAGATCTGAAGCTACTCAGGAATCTGCTGCCAAAGTGCAATAAAAAAGACAACATTAATAGAATCAAACCCTTTTTTTGTTGCATTTTAGTAGATTATAAAAATAAATGCCTTTAAAATATGATGCAAGCAACACTAGCTTCTTAACCTGAATTGATAATAGACTATAATCAGTTTAAGTTTGCATTCTTATACCATTTTGTACAATAATTATAATGAATAAGTTCAAACAAACTCAAACTTACAGCTGATTAATAACGGTATCTAACTTGAGTTTTTATTATATCAAAAACCTGTTGAAATGCTTCTGTTATTTTTACTGTCCCCCAAAAGCGCGTCGGCAGCCTCCAGGAATGCTTCTTTCACAACTTCGCCATCTTTGAAATACTTCATGTGTTTCTCCAGAACGTGACTGACCCGATAAGATGCTCTGGTAGCAGCCTTGCTCTTGTTGTTGGGCCTGGTGAAAATGGACTGCTGTGCATTTAGCTGTCCTTTCAGGCCCCTCCCCTTTTGGAGCGTAGGGCAGAATCAGGAGGGAATTCCGTCTCGTAGCGTTTGTGCACCGTTTTGAAATGCCGCTCCTAAATTACCCTTCTTCGATAAAGCCACGCTCGCATTGCAGATGAGACAGATGGACTTTGAATTGGAATAGATACAAAAATAATCATCCTCCCACTCGGAGTGACAATTATATATTTTTGGCTTTCTTGCTTTTGCCATAATTGCGGTCTTGTGTGTGTGCGGACTGTCACTCCTGTTGCCACGGACAACGTCAGCGAACTAGTGCCCACTGCCCACCAGCCACGCCCCCACACATGGGGTCACGCCGGCCAATCACAAAGCTTTGATGCGTTCAAGTGCATTATTCTGGCACAGGAAGATTATGTTACAGGACATTAACGATAAAACTGAATATTGTTGTTCTATTTTTAGACACATATCGCGATCGACTGGGAATCTCCCCGTGATCAACCGGACGACTAGTTGGCCACCCCTGAGGTACTCGAACTGCGCATGCGTGCGATGGATATATCCAGTGCTAAAGCACCGCCTCTGGCGATCATCCGGGACTCGTAGAACCGTAGTTACAGCCGTAACTATCGATTCATATTCAGTTACACATCTTTAATATTGGTAACTAACTCTGAGTTGATGAAAACAAAGTAATATCTACACTTCAAATCTCTCTGACTTTTCCTAGTGATAAATCCCAATTGATCAACTACCTAATTCTGATATTTTTCCAAACATGTTCCTGCTGTTGTTGGTGTAGCATTCATTACTTTAGCATGCTTTATAAAGAGTTTACCCCTAACTTCATGTTCAAAAATAACTCCATTCCATCCAATGATAATTGATACCCTTTTAATAACCAGATTGATATAGTGTGAAGTTGTTGTGGCTGAAAAAGAGTTGAAGCTCTTATCCTAACAGAATACATCACAAAGGTTAAATATCAGCAGAATTTACATTTTTCTATTTTTTAAATCAACCACGAGAAATGTTATTTAAACATGTCAAGTGTTGATAAATTATTAATAATAAAAAACATGAACAAACAAAGAGTAGTACCTACCTCTTCAAGGGCTGCCTTCTCAGAGCTTGGAGATCCGGCAGTGGACTTTAAAAGATAAATTAAATTAATTAATATTGCATTTTAAAAAAACAACTATAGAGATATTTAGCTAAATATGCATTTCAATGGGACCCAGATAACCCTTGACCTTTGTCATCTAAGGTTGCACTAGTCAGTGATTTAATAACAGAAAACAGATTGATGTTGTCTCACTGAAACCTGGCTGATACAGGAAGAATATCTCAGCATAAATGAAGCCAGTCATGTCCACCCACTGGAACCTTAATACCGGCTGTTACACCAGACATATACCTAGACTGCTTCTCTCCAATAGACCTTAACCAACTAACTTCAATGATGTATTCTTCCAAACTGTCAACCTGGATCTTAGACCCTATTGCATCTAAGCTGTTTGAAGAAATGTTACCCCTAATTAACACATTCGTAATAAATATGTCATTATTGTCAGGCTATGTAACACAGTCATGTAAGGAAGATGTAATTAAACCTCTCCTTAGGAAATCAAACCTTGATCCTAAGGTAATGGGCCACTATAGACCAATATCTAACCTTGCCTTCCTCACCAAAACATTTGAGTAAACAGTCGCTCAGCAGCTGTGTGAATACTTAAATAACAATCCATTACTTGAGAAATGTCATCAGGATTTAGAGTTCATCACATTTCAGAGACAGCACTAGTGAAAGTCACAAATGACCTTCTCATGGCATCTGAAAATGGACTTCTTTCTATCTTGGTACAGTTATACCTGAGTGCTGCTTTCGATACGTTGAAACTACAGAGATTAGAACGATCACTTTGGTTTTGTTAGTGTTTAATAATAAGTAGTTGCAGGTCATCCATGCTTTTATATCTGACAGGCATTCTTGTAATTTTGTTAATTGATATTGTTCATCGATCTTGAAAGATAGGTACAACTGTGTATCGTCAGCACTCCATGACTGAGTGTGGTTTTCATTGAGGATCAATCATGTGCAGATACAAACTGAAGCCGTTCTGACAGATATGACCTAAACCAGTTTAGTGCAGTTCCCTTTATGCCAATTGATCGTTCTAATCTCTGCAGTAAGATGTTGTGGTCCAACGTAATGAAAGCAGTGCTCAAGTCTATCGGTACAAAGATCGCATAAAGTCCATTTTCAGATGATGATGATGATGATGATGATGATGATGATGATGATGATGATGATGCATATGATGATGATGATGATGATGATGATGATGATGATGATGATGATGATGATGATGATGATGATGATGATGATGATGATGATGATGATGATGATGATGATGATGATGATGATGATGATGATGATGATGATGATGATGATGATGGTGATGATGATGATGATGATGATGATGGTGATGATGATGGTGATGGTGATGGTGATGGTGATGGTGATGGTGATGGTGATGGTGATGGTGATGGTGATATGGCAACAGTGTTATGAATTAGTACTGGTGATCCACACATCCACTCACATCAGGTTTCTCCTCCTTTGGGCTGCCAAAACGATCAGCTTTATCCTCCCCATCAGCAGGGGGAGCTGCAGGTTCTTCTACCTCTTCTCCAGCGGGGGGAGCTGCAGGTTCCTCCACCTTCTCTCCAGCAGGGGGAGCTGCAGGTTCCTCCACCTTCTCTCTAGCAGGGGGAGCTGCAGGTTCCTCCACCTTCTCTCCAGCAGGGGGAGCTGCAGGTTCCTCCACCTTCTCTCCAGCAGTGGGAGCTGCAGGTTCCTCCACCTTCTCTCCAGCAGGGAGAGCTGCAAGTTCCTCCACCCTCTCTCCAGCAGGGGGAGCTGCAGGTTCCTCCACCTTCTCTCCAGCAGGGGGAGCTGCAGGTTCCTCCACCTTCTCTCCAGCAGGGGGAGCTGCAGGTTCCTCCACCTTCTCTCCAGCAGGGAGAGCTGCCAAGTTCCTCCACCCTCTCTCCAGCAGGGGGAGCTGCAGGTTCCTCCACCTTCTCTCCAGCAGGGAGAGCTGCAGGTTCCTCCACCCTCTCTCCAGCAGGGGAAGCTGCAGGTTCCTCCACCTTCTCTCCAGCAGGGAGAGCTGCAGGTTCCTCCACCTTCTCTCCAGCAGGGAGAGCTGCAGGTTCCTCCACCCTCTCTCCAGCAGGGGGAACTGCAGGTTCCTCCACCTTCTCTCCAGCAGGGGGAGCTGCAGGTTCTTCCACCTCTTCTCCAGCAGGGGGAGCTGCAGGTTCCTCCACCATCTCTCCAGCAGGGGGAGCTGCAGCTGCAGGTGGAGCTGGATACTTGTCTTGTTCCTGAGCAGGTTCTGTCCCTGTTGCTTCCGGACCCTCAGCTGATTCTGCTTTAACTTCATTCTTTTGCAAGGAAAGATGGTAATTCACTCCAAAACGGTTCAAATGTGGCTGCTGATATTTTGCATGCAACTCAATCAGATGTTTAGAATAACATGTGTCTTAGTGGCGAACCGTCAGGGCCTTCAAGGTATTCAGAGAATACCCTGGAACACTCAGATAAAACAAACAAAAAATCGATTTAATTATATAAATAAAATGTATATAAAATGAATAAATGAGAATGGTATCTGTGTTGTTGATCTGTAATATCACAGTGTTACGTTGATTTGTTTGTCCTTCTCGGACCATGCACTACGCATTTCAGTGGGTTTGTGTTACAAAAGAAAGCAACCAATCAGATCTTGTTCTGGGTCTCTGGGTAGAATATCCTTCAACAAGGTATTCTACATCCTTGATCGAATGCCCTGGCCGTTGCACTGAATGAGAGCGTATGTTTGGACTGACAGTTTGATCAACCAATCAGATATTGATTTGTAGCCAATGGGCGTGTTCTTTCAGAGTTCCCCTCGGTTCCAGGGTATTCTAGAAGGCCCGCTAGTTAACTGGCTCGAGACAGAGGATCTAGATGAATGCGACGAAGCAATTCATGCCGTTTTATTGTTTTTAACGTTGAAAGGGCAAGTGCAACAGGTGAAGATGAAGTTGTTGTCTTAATGGGCCAATCATTCCAACAGCTCCAACCCAGTTGTGGACGTCAGAAAAACAGTAGAAGAAATTAGTTTGGTTGCTACGAATGTATAAATAAATGCAAATATTAATCTAATGTAAATTCCTTATATAGTTGTTTCTGTTTGATATCATTAGAGATGCTTTTTAGTGGTGTGTCCTTTGTGACCTGTAAGGAAACTGCTCAACAGAACATTAAATAAAATTAATTAATACACCAATAAGTCATGAACATATCGGAAGCTGCCTTCAAAATCATTTTCAACACAATGTACTTATGTTTGAACTCACCATCTTATCAAATTCAGCGAAGAATGACGGAGCGGTGGCATTCTTCAGAGTGCACATATTGAAAACAGAGAAGAGTCAAATCAGGACTTGTGATTATGATTATATAACATTCACACAAGAGAGGGAATCCTTAAAGAACATGCAGACAGGGAATAAGAGTTGGGACTTTGAGTGTCAATTACAGCCAGGACGTAAGCAGGGCGTTCAGGAACAGGAAGTACAGACGTGTTGACATTAAGGACATTAAGAAGTGGGACATTAAGAGTAGGATGTAGAGAGTCAGAGAGTCAGAGAGTCAGAGAATCAGAGAGTCAGAGAGTCAGGATGTAGAGAGTCAGAGAGTCAGAGAGTCAGGATGTAGAGAGTTAGAGAGTCAGAGAGTCAGAGAGTCAGAGAGTCAGAGAGTCAGGATGCAGAGAGTCAGAGAGTCAGAGAGTCAGAGAGTCAGGATGTAGAGAGTCAGAGAGTCAGAGAGTCAGAGTCAGGATGCAGAGAGTCAGAGAGTCAGGATGCAGAGAGTCAGAGAGTCAGAGTCAGAGAGTCAGAGAGTCAGGATGCAGAGAGTCAGAGAGTCAGAGAGTCAGGATGCAGAGAGTCAGAGAGTCAGAGAGTCAGAGAGTCAGGATGCAGAGAGTCAGAGAGTCAGAGAGTCAGGATGTAGAGAGTCAGAGAGTCAGGATGCAGAGAGTCAGGATGCAGAGAGTCAGAGAGTCAGGATGCCGAGAGTCAGAGAGGCAGAGAGGCAGAGAGGCAGAGAGGCAGAGAGTCAGGATGTAGAGAGTCAGGATGTAGAGAGTCAGGATGCAGAGAGTCAGAGAGTCAGAGAGTCAGGATGCAGAGAGTCGTGATGTAGAGAGTCAGGATGTAGAGAGTCAGGATGCAGAGAGTCAGAGAGTCAGAGAGTCAGAGAGTCAGAGAGTCAGGATGCAGAGAGTCATGATGTAGAGAGTCAGGATGTAGAGAGTCAGGATGCAGAGAGTCAGAGAGTCAGAGAGTCAGAGAGTCAGGATGTAGAGAGTCAGAGAGTCAGAGAGTCAGAGAGTCAGAGAGTCAGAGAGTCAGAGAGTCAGGATGTAGAGAGTCAGAGAGTCAGAGAGTCAGAGAGTCAGAGAGTCAGTAAGTCAGAGAGTCAGAGAGTCAGGATGTAGAGAGTCAGAGAGTCAGAGAGTCAGAGAGTCAGAGAGTCAGAGAGTCAGAGAGTCAGAGAGTCAGGATGCAGAGAGTTAGGATGTAGAGAGTCAGGATGCAGAGAGTCAGGAGATGAAGAGTCGGGGCATCGGGACACCGAGAGTCGAGACTTTGAGGGAGAACATTAATGTGAACAAGCAGAAAAAGCAGGCAGCAGGAGAGGCGGGAGGAGATAGGGATCCGGGTTCAGGATTACTTGTTCTCAATCTGTGGGAGGGTAGGAGGCAGAACGGGTTCTCATCTATTCTATTCTGTTCTACGCTAATCTACCACACTGAAGTTAGGAGGAAGTTAAATACCTCTTCCTTTTCTGTATCTAGCGCTTGGTATAACTTTCCAATTCTCCGGTTCGCAGCCTCGTCTTCGGACATGTCTGAATGTTCTGGTTGTTTGTCAATTCTGGTGACGTGTAAGTCTTGTGTCCCTCCAGCTGTTCCAGAAACAGCCGCAGAGGAATGTGGATTGATGGCGGCCGGATCCTCAGTCCCTGCAGAGGCTGCTGGGAAACTCTGGGCAAAAGGGTCTGTATCCCAACTGCCTCCTCCATCCCCAGAGGACACAAGTCCACCTGAGGTCTCAGCAGCAAACGGATCAAATTCAAAACCACCCCCCTTGTCTCCAAACTGTGTTTCAGTAAAGGGATCTGAATCAAACGCACCCCCTCCCTGTGTTTCAGCAAAGGGATCTGAATCAAACGCACCCCCTCCCTGTGTTTCAGCAAAGGTACCCGAATCAAACGCACCCCCTCCCTGTGTTTCAGCAAAGGGAACTGAATCAAATGCACCCCCTCCCTGTGTTTCAGCAAAGGGAACTGAATCAAATGCACCCCCTCCCTGTGTTTCAGCAAAGGGATCTGAATCAAAAGCACCCCCTCCCTGTGTTTTAGCAAAGGGATCTGAATCAAACGCACCCCCTCCCTGTGTTTCAGCTGAGGTATCTGAATCAAACGCACCCCCTCCCTGTGTTTCAGCAAAGGGAACTAAATCAAACGCACCCCCTCCCTGTGTTTCAGCAAAGGGATCTGAATCAAACGCACCCCCTCCCTGTGTTTCAGCAAAGGTACCAGAATCGAACGCACCCCCTCCCTGTGTTTCAGCAAAGGTACCAGAATCAAACGCACCCCCTCCCTGTGCTTCAGCTGAGATAACTGAATCAAAAGCACCCCCTCCCTGTGCTTCAGCAAAGGGAACTGAATCAAACGCACCCCCTCCCTGTGTTTCAGCAAAGGGATCTGAATCAAACGCACCGCCTCCCTGTGTTTCGACAAAGGGATCTGAATCAAACGCACCCCCTCCCTGTGTTTGAGCTGAGGTAACTGAATCACACGCACCCCCTCCCTGTGCTTCAGCTGAGGTAACTGAATCAAACGCACCCCCTCCCTGTGCTTCAGCTGAGGTAACTGAATCAAACGCACCCCATCCCTGTGCTTCAGCTGAGGTAACTGAATCAAACGCAACCTGTGCTTCAGCTGAGGTAACCGAATCAAACGCACCCTCTGCTTCAGAGTGTTGTATGTAGATCGATGTGAGGTCTGTTGGTTTTCCTGGCCGCTCTTCTCCTGCTGAAACTTGTTCTACTGTTTGAGACCGATCCTCACACCCCTCTGGGAAACGGTCTTCAGAGGACAGATCATCGTCTGCACCTCCATCCCCCCACTCCTCAGCTGTCTCATATTCAGACCCAGACCCATCTGGAGACCTTGACCACCTGTCTCCTCCGTCCTCTGTGCTGTCCTCAATCTGCTCTCCAAACTCATTGGTGAATATCAGTCCTGGGGTGGACTTCCTGCGGTCTTCCTGCCCTGCTGTATCTACTTCTGAAACTGCCTGTCTCGTCTCCTCTTCATCAGTTCTGACTGCAGAGGAAGGAAGATCTGTGATAGATTGAAAGCTCCAGCTGCTAACCTCATCTCCAGCTGGGGCTGCCCCCCCATCCTGAGGAGGTGTAGCTGTGTCTGCCCCCCCCTCCGGACCTACATCAGGCGCCTTGGGCCCTTGAGCAGCATCTCCACTTGCCGAACCAAAGTCAGCGGACCAGTCGGCGACGAAGCCAGTGTCTGCCCCCTGATGGAGAAAGCAGGGATTTCAGGGTTAAAGCTGACACCCCCCCCCCCCCGCTCTTACCCTTTATTTATCAAGCTTTATTGTTAAGAAATATATTTTGTAGTTGTGTGTGTCGTTTATCAATTGGGTGTAATGATGTGGAATTGTTTGTACTTACAGGCTCAGCTTTTTGGGCTTCTCCCTATAAAAAGTAAGAGGGAATAGAAGATGGTTCATATCTGCAGAAACACTGATCTGTGTACCACGATTATACATTTATATGTTTTTCTTTAAAGGTCTCCTATTATACTTTTTTTAAGGCATATATTATAGGTCTCAGATATATAAAAAACATGTCTATGAAGTGTTTTGCTCAAAATACCAAACAGATCATTGTAGCCTCATCCCCCTCTCTTTCAGCTGTTACTAAAGAGATGATTCTGGGTCTGTAGCTTTAAATGTAACCCGAGCTGCCGCTGGCCACACCCCTTTGTAGCTGTTGCTGGCCACGCCCCTTTGGGGCATGCATGACCTCTTGTCTGTGAAGAGAAGGCTGTCTCCCAGCAGAAACTCAGCTAAATGCTGCCGTGATGAAACTCCATATCATGTTCCAAACCACATCAAGGATCCTCTCTGAAACAGGATGGAGCTCAAACTCTTTCTCTCTCTCAGGTTTACCACAAGGTGACTTCCTTTTGATTTCCTGCTTCCTCCCACACACTCTCTCCAGTACAGGTTAGCTCTGAGTGTTAGCATGCTAATGTAAACACAGACCATATTACTTCCAGAACACGTCTCATTGTTTCTGACAGCAACGCTTCTGATTGGCCTGTGGGTGTAAAGCCCGCCCACATTTTAGTAATGTGGTCATGACGCAGCAAATCTGGATCAGCTCCGTTGTTCCCCGTTTTTAGAGATGTGGGTACGGAGGAGAAGAGAGAGGGGTTTGTTTCTGACACTTTGTGAGTCTCCTGACACACCGGGGACACATGGTGATGTAGAGAAGACATCCCTTTGAGAGTCTCCTGACATACCGGGGACACACCGGGGACACATGGTGATGTAGAGAAGACATCAGTTAGTGAGTCTCCAGACATACCGGGGACACACTGGGGACACATGGTGATGTAGAGAAGACATCACTTTGTGAGTCTCCAGACACACCGGGGACACATGGTGATGTAGAGAAGAAATCACTTTGTGAGTCTCCTGACACACCGGGGACACATGGTGATGAAGAGAAGACATCACTTTGAGAGTCTCCTGACACACGGTGATGTAGAAAAGACATCGCTTTTTGAGTCTCCTGACACACCGGGGACACACCAGGGACATACGGTGATGTAGATAAGACATCCCTTTGTGAGTCTCCAGACACACCGGGGACACATGGTGATGTAGATAAGACATCACTTTGTGAGTCTCCAGACACACCAGGGACACATGGTGATGTAGAGAAGACATCACTTTGTGAGTCTCCAGACACACCGGGGGACACATGGTGATGTATAAGAGACATCGAAAAGGGCATTTTGCATAATAGGTGACCTTTAATTAGCAAAACAATTACACATTTGTTTTATTAACCCTCTTAACAACAATCAGATCATACATTCAAACCATGGAACAAA